TTACCGCGCACGCGGTGGATTTGTTAGCTGCTAGCCAGGTACTTAACGCGTAAATAGCTACTCCAATGGGTNTCAAGAATAATGCAACTTAATAAAATGAATTGAATGAACTAATGCTGTGTTCCTACTAAGTTATGGAAGTTGTGATCCACAACGACCGACGTGGCTGCCCCTGGCTCACTTCAGTCACCCACTGACAACTGACTGTTAGTCTTGCAAACTCCATGAATACTACGGGACTAAATGTCAGGGTGTATATCTATAGTGTATATATTCTGGGCTTGTATATCTCCACTTTTACCTAAATATATTTTGTTGTCCAATGTCACACTAAATATATTTCTAGTGTGTCACACACCCCAAAATATATTTCCTCACTGGAATGGACTCCAAATATATTTCTTATGCCTGGACCCTGAATTGTGACTGTCACAATGTAGAAATATATTTCTTGTCTGGGTTGGACTTGGGATATATTCTGCAGCTAGGGTTGACTAAGGATATATTTTTTCAGCCACAAGGGGTGTCTGGGGTCCTATATTTAAGAGAAAAACTTGGGATTTTTTTAATATAGGGGACAGGGGATTTACCTATTATTTTGTAGACAGAATACCCTCATTGGGATGTTTGTTGACAGATATTTACCAATGGGTTTGACCCATGTGTAGTATATGCATTGATGTGTGCACTTTTTCCTAATTGGGCCATTTCCTAATTGGGAAAAGCATTACATTTTTTTCTGCCACACTTGATGTCAGGCACAGTGTGCATTTAGGTTGGGAACTGTTTCCCATGCTTTTTGGGCCAGAAGAATTAATGGTTAGCATGGTGTGGTCATTGTTAATGATGATGTGCGCACTATTTCCTAATTGGGCAACTTCCTAATTGGGAAAAGTGTTACACTTTTTTCTGACAGACCTGATGTCAGGCACAGTGCACATTTAGGTTGGGAACTGTTTCCCACACTTCTTGGGCCAGAAGAGTTAATGGCTAGCATGGTGTGGTCATTGTTAATGACGATGTGCGCACTATTTCCTAATTGGGCCATTTCCTAATTAAGAAAAGCGTTACACTTTTTTCTGACACACCTGATGTCAGGCACACTGCGCATTTGGGTGGGGAATTATTTCCCACGCTTTTTGGGCCAGAAGAGTTGATGGCTAGCATGGTGGGTCATTGTAATGA